GTGGCTTAAGCTCTGGATGGAGCTTCCAGCAAGTAGCCCTGAGATGTCCTGGTCGGCCACAATAATCACATTGACGGGATCCCCCCGTCTGCGCTGATCTGGGATGCCCTGACGGCGCTGGTCTGAGCGTTGCCCATCCCTGACTAAGGATCCTGAACGGGACCCTACAGCAGTTGCAAGGGCCATCTGGTCAATCGAAGGAGTCAAAGCTGCAACTGGAAGTGATGCAATACGGACTCGACGCTCATGCTGCTCAATCATCCCATACACCTCATAAAGAGAAGGAAGTGTCAACATCGACAAGATCTGAGAACAGAGATCGAGAGGTCCCTCAAACTCATCACGAAGCCCCATAAGGAACTTGTGAATCCTATCCTCCTGCTCTCGAGTATGCAAGAATGCTGCTCCCTCGGGCTCTATCTTCGGAATAGCAGCAAGAGGACGTAGAGACTCATACTCAAGCCAGCGATGGGTCAAATAGCCATAATAATCCTGAACGGTCATATCTCCCTGTCGAGCATATGAGAGCTCCTGAGAAAGCTCATAAACACGAACTCCCCGTCCTGACTGAGAATACATCTCTGATAATGCGCTCCATAGCTTCGGAACAGAGCTATGAAACTGATGGATCCTGCAAACAGAGGGCTCCATTGAGCCAAATAACCATCCAAGAATGGCACAGTTTTCAGAGAACCACGCAGAATATCCAGGGTCGGCATCAGCTGGCTTTGGGTGAGATCCCGTCAGCCAACCAAGCTTCCCTACACGGCCTAAGAAAAGCTGGAATGAGCGTGACCACTCAGCGAAGTTACGACCATTCAACAATTGTGCCGTAACTTTTTGAGAGATCATGCCCGGTAATGCTGGTAATGCAACTGTGCCAGTAGGCACTGTATACTGGTCAAACATAAAAGTGGAAGTACCCATAGATGTCTCAACGGTAGAGGTGTCAACAGTAGGGTTCTCAAGTCCCTCAGTAGTAGCCATATCAACAACAATACTAGGGCACCCGTGACAGAAAAATAACTCTAAGATAAATAGAGGAATAAAATAAGGGAGAACAATATACCTTCAGTCGAACAGTAGCGACAAATAAGGAAGGTCCAAAAAGCTCCCAAATAATCAAGTCACGGTGCCCAGAAATCCAATATAAATGATCTACTGCATTAAAAGCAGATCAACGGAGAAAAAGATCTGGTGCCTCCTCAAAAAGGCCTAGATATTGTAACTCTAGAAAAAAAGGTGGCGCGAAAAAATAGCGACACTGTGACGAAAAGATACACGTGACCCGATAGCGGGTTGATGAGTGGGCTGGTTTGGGGCTGGTCTAGGATTGGTTTGGGTTGGACCGGGCAGTGGGTCGACGATTTGTTGTTGGCTGGGTTTTGGGTTTTGGTTTATGTGGCTGTCGGTGGAGCAGCTGGTTTAATGGAGTGGAGGCAGTCGGTGTAGATGTTAAGGCTGGGTTTTGGGTTTTGGTTTATGTGGCTGTCGGTGGAGTTTGTTATGGGTTGATCAAAGAGGCAGTTGGGTTTTCGGTGGGCAGTCGGTGATGTTTTTTTTTTTTGGCTGGGTTCTATCGGTGAGGAGGCAGTGGGGGTTTTGTGGGTCGCTGGTCTGGGTTTGGGTGTGGGTAGTCGGTTGTTGGTGTGGGCAGTCGGTTGGATTGAAACAGTCGGTTGTTGCTGTCGGTGGAATTGAAACAGTCGGTCGCTGGTCTGGGTTTGGTTTTGTCGCTGGCGGTGTGGTCTGGTTCTGATGGGAGGCTGGTGTGTGGTTTTGTCGGTGGGCTGCTGGACGGTGTAGCAGAGGCAGATGATTTTGGCAGGCAGTTGCAGATTGTGTTGGGGTGTGGCGCTGAAGGTGATGAAGGCTAGGGTTAAGGTTAGGGTTAGGGTTAGGCTTAGAGATGGAGGCTAGGGTTTTGGCTTTGATACCAACTTGGAATATGTGAAAGGGATACTCAAACTCAAAGTAGAGTCCCGTATATATAGCCAAAAATAATACAGAGTGACTTAAACATCCTTGTAGTTTAGGCAAAATATAAAAATCATAGTAAGGGTAAAAAAGGGAAAAGGAATCCTAATAAACCTAGACTACTATCTATACTCCAACATGAACTATTACCTACCGATCCTTTTTCTTTTCTTTTTGTTTTTATTCCTTGATAATAAGGAGCCGTCCCAACTGCGCATAATTAGAATTCATGGTTTATAGAGACACCCAATTTAATTACCCATAATTCACATATACCAAGTAAAATCGAATTTAAAACATATGGGTGTAACGGTATTATTGACATGGGGTATTACAATCAATAATAAAACATTAAATAAGATTGATAAACTTTACTATTCTAAAATGATAGTTATTAGTTATGGTTGCTATTGGTAGTTATTAAAATAATGGAATTTGTTAAATTCACACAGTATTATATAACTGAAGGTTGACATTACATTATGTTAATGACGTAGTGGTACCATTATATTAAATTTTTTTTCAACAAGTGCATGTTGAGAGAGAAGAGAAAGGAAAAGGGTTTGCGGGCGGAATCGAGAGGTTTTGCAGGAGATGGAGTATCCTTATATATAAAATCTTATCCTTAAAATCATATCTTTCTATTGTAGTATTCAGATTTCTTCAAAATTCTATTTTTTTTTTAATTTTTACTGACAAATTATTGATCATTAATGAATGAAGACTCACTTGTAAATAATGAATTCCATAGTAGGCGAATCATCAAAATAAAATTAAAAAATATTTGAGTGAATTTTACTCCCTTCTTGTGAATGAGAACATCTCTTTCACACAAAGACCAGCTGAGACCAAAGAGTGTGGAACTAGAAAAACAAACGTGGTACATGTGAAGCCGTCTAATCTTTCTATACCTTATATTACTTCTAATGAATGCTTTATTCTTCTTTTTAGCTGTTTTCTTCTAATGAATGCTTACCCCCAAGCATAAAACAAAGCAAAGAAGACGTTATAGCCATCATACATACTTGTAACGAATTCTTTGGCACGTGTCGACATTTTAATGGTCACTATAGCCGGTCCCTTTTTTTTTCTTTTTTTGGGTAAACCGCCAATTATTCTAAACACCACAAATTTGGACCGTCCACAGACAAAATATATATATATTTTTTTGAATTAATAGTCAGAGTCAATTTATGTTCACATCGATTAATCTCTTCCATGATTTAATCAAATGTAAGTTATCTACGCTGAAACTTAGATATTTATGAAAAATAAATCTTTCATGACCGGGTCTCAAAAAATTGTCAAGATTCAAATTAAAAGCATCTAAAAGAATTCACTGTTGGGTCATGCATGACCACAACCCTTAGCTTTTTTGAACAATCGTTTACCAAATATTTTTATTTTAAAATATTGTGATATATTTTTACCCTTAAATAAATGAATTTTATTAATATTTAATAATAAAATATTGTAATTTTATTTGTAATAAAAGATTTAATAAATAAATTTGATAAACGTTCTCGAATATACTCACTCAACTTTCCCAATTCTCCGGTGCTCCTTTGACAAGGACATACAATATCTAATAATTTTTTAATTAATATTTACCAAATCAACGTCAACAAACAAAATAATTATTTCAGCGGTAATGTTATAAATTTTAAAAAATTTATCATCTTGAATGAACAAATCATGTGGTACCATTTTGGAGAATGAAAAATAGAGGTCTAGATCCCTATTTTAAAGTTTAACAAAATTTACTTAATGTACATTATTACCACATTAACACCATATCATTTTTCAATTTAACCCTACCAATAATATTTTTAGGGCAATGATATTAAGATATATTTTCAAGTTTAATGTACGTGTCTATTAGATTGGCAATGTGTTCCATAAGTTAACAAAGTGACTGCTAATTTAAAAGTCACTATGCATTATGTTACAATCTATAATCCACAAGATAAGCAGAAGTAATATTATTAATACTAGAAATAACTTCATAGATGAAAATTTAATTAATTTTAATTGTTATCGACGGCCCAGTCTAAATCAGGCCCAACTTAGAGGCCCAATTTTAGAAATATAGACAAGAACCAGACCGCAAAGTGCTGTCAAGCTTAGATTAAAAATTGTAACACCCTACGTTCTACGTGACATAATATTGTTTGTTTTTAGTCCACCGACCCTCACGGCTTTATTCCTCCTAGTATTCTTGGAAAAAAGTCTTATGCCATGTAAGGCAAGAGCTTATTAATATGTCCAGTCACTTTTCTCTCTCTAATCGATGTGGGACACCAAGATCTCATAGAATTACAACCCAACAAGGACCAAATTTATCGTCTTGAAAAACTCAGTTTGCTAGTGACGCATGTGAGATCTCTATTTAAAAAAGGGAATTAGGGTGCACATCACAAATTTTAATCACCTCATCTATTATGCTAGCATCACAGAGCCATTCACTCCTGTCAAAAAGATGACGCCTTAATCAAGGTTTTCTACGATGACACCTCCATCAAAACCCACTTAGGGGTGCCATGAAAATTGTACACTCCTATAATTTGTAAGTCCCTCCTATATGTGGGATATCACATATATCTCAGTACACTATACTTCTCAAGAAATAAGATTTTTTTATCACCGTCAAGTCGCCTAAACCAAACCACTTAATAATTGTGTTTGCTTTGTGTTGAGTCCTCTTTATTTCATTCTTGATTAGTTTTAAATAAACTTATTTTTGTTCATCATTAATTAGTGCGCTTTTTTATTTTAAAATTTTAATTTCAAAATCGTAACATTAGATAGATTTTTGAGGACCAAAATTGACACTTTTAATAAAACAGTTTACCAATTTTAATTATAATAATATATTTGGACCATCTCAACTGCCCCACGATTAGATTAAGAAATTAAGCTAATTATCTATGTATTAGCATCGCTGTTTAGTCTTAATTTATTCTTCACATGGTCGACCCTACCCATTATAAACCCCACAAGCCGCCTTGTTTACCCCCTCATTCCAATTCTCGTCTTCTCTCTCTCAACTCAACCAACCAACCTTCAAAAACTTTTGTCTCGCAGCTCTATATCTTTACTATACAACATGGAAATCCCAGAAATCAGCATTATAGGCGATTTCGAAGCTGGAATGAAATGCCTTCGTCAAAACTCATCTTTGATTTCTCGCTTTTTTTCGCTTTCGGGTCTTGAAACAGTGCATCAACTCCACAGCTTTTGGAAATGGGGTGCTGTAATTCTTGCATTAATCGCCACTTTCAGTGGCATAATCAACAGAATCAAGCTCTTCATCACCTGGGTCCGTACAATTAAGCCGTTAGATTCATCGTCAAAGCCTCTTCTGCAATTGTTCGACGACGATGAGGAGCTTAGCGAAGATGAAACATCGTCATCGGCTTCGTTGGAAGACGAAGAGTACGAGTCAACTTCGTCGTTTGATGATCAAATACCGGTTGACGAAGACTTTCGTGTGGCGGGTTCAAGTTTTTATAGTGAAAACCAATCTCGAAATGGTAAATTCAAGCTCCGGAAGCGTCGAAGCTGCGGCGATGGCTTTTCTTGGTCAGACTTCGGCGCCGGTACAAGTGTTGTAAAGCTTTGGGATAGTTTAGGGTTAGGTTTAGAATTTGAAGACTTTGCTGATGGTGTTGTTTCAATATGGGACTTAAATAAGGACCAAAAAAAAAGTTCATTTTTGGCCGGGAATGGGAGTCGTCAGATTCCGGCGGTGGCGATGTCGTCACCAGCGGTGGCGTTGTCAGCTGGATTGGATAAGAGCAACGCCGTCGTTTTGGGTGCTCATGACATGAGGGTGGCGCGTCAGACTCCGGCGATATGCGCCGAGTGGAAAACACCGGCGGGCAAGGCGGTGGAGGATTTGAATTCCGGCGGTGTCGAAAAGGTTTTCGTCAGAGATGACGTCAGCGGTTTTATAACAGTAGTTGACATGAGAAACGTCAAAATGCCGCTAGATAATGTAACGGAATCAGACGGAGAGACCTGGATGGACGCTGACGCCGTTACTTCTGAGGGCGTTGGAGTTCGTTAAAGTTTCGCGGTAAAAACGTGTGGTTTTACTGAGTTTGGTTTCCGACGGGGTGTGGCCGAGTTGACGCGGCGAGGTGTGGACTGAGATTTAGAAAGGGTAAAACGGTCAACAAAAAGAATTGTAATTGAAACTTATTGGAAGGACACACACAGCTGTCCGTAAATAATTAGTTTAATTGTAATATTAATTGCTGATTATGGTAATGTTAATCATGTGTTTGTTGATTGCTTAGGCGGAGCATCCACTTATCTTATCTGATAATTAATCTCGAAAAGACCAAAAAAGAATAAAAGGAAGCATTGTCGTCTGAACTAACACATTGGCGACCCGTAAAACATGCAATCTATTATTCAAATTGTAATTTTTTTCTCCCAATTGATAAAAATAAAAAATTATATTTAAATTTATAGTATTATATTTGATGCTAAAAAATTCATTTAACACAAAAGGTCATATGTGGGGATATATAGCAATTACGATAAAAAAAAACAATAAAAAAAAGTTAATTACAACTCTCGGAGCACTTCTACTAGAAGGTAGGAGTGAATGTAATTGAATCAAATTTTTTATTTGTTTGGTTTAATGGTCAGGGATATTTAAGTCAGTTTACGCGTATTTCGGTTAATTCACTCTTCTGTATGATAAAATACAAGTTATTCAAGATGAAATTATAGTATTTGTAAAAGATAAATCTCTCGTGACCTGACTCAAAGGGTTATCAAGATTCAGAATGTTTGAATTTACAACTTGTCTCTATTACTTTTTAAGCTAACTTTGAAATAACTGAATTGGGTTAGCCAAAAGCAAATCCTGTAAAATACTATTGATATGAAAATGTAATTAGAAGATATTACTTAGGGGAAAAGAAAGTGTTGAGCATATGGAAGAAGATATGTGACCCAAGACCAAATCCTTGTTGCTTCGTACAAGTCATTGGGTGCCCAACCATAATGAGATTTTAAGAGACAAGTTGTAGATAGCTAGTAACAGCCCAAAAGAATTATACATACAATTTCTAAATTTGGAGGACATTTCGGATGAAGAAACAATTTGGGGTGGATACTTTTTCTTTAAATTGCAAGGATCATTTGAATAAAATTCTTTACTGAGCGATATGACAAACAGATCGCCAAAGGTGAGGATCCTCTGCTATTAAAATTAATAGTACAGTCGTCGTTGATTAAAACAACATTATTTTGTTAAATAGAACGGCGCTATTTTGATACAAAACGATATTGTTTTAATCAACAACAACTCTGCTTTTAGAAATTAATAGTAGAGGAGCCGGACCCGACTGCTCATGAGATCCATCATTTGTATGGGCAGTTTTTATTAATTCCAAAAAAAAAAAAAAAAAAAAAAAAAAAATATATATATATATATATAGATTTTATAAGAGTCAAGGTCTCAACTCCCAAGTAAGTGTGAAAAGGCAAAGAACAACGCTATGTGTGAATGGAAAAACGAATACTGCACACCTCTTTGATGAGATGTATGCTTTTATTTTATTTCACGTTTTTTGTATTGTCTTCATCGTTAACACTTAAAGATTCTTCCAGAACAAGACATTTCATCACACTTCATTGCATATCATATTGATAAATTATAATAATAAAAAAAAAACATTTCATCCAATTTATATTGAAATTTTTACATATATTGTTGACTTCTCACTCTCGATTGAATCCAATGCCATGTGCTACTTGCTTTTTGAATCTATATTATGAAATGATGTGATTGAGAAAACATCAAGTTGGTGAGGGTTAGGCTAGAAATTGAAGATCATAAGATATAATTTTCGACTATACTAAGTGAGATTGGATAAGAAGACTTTTGTGGTTACTCACTCAATCTTCTAAGTTTGAATCTTGCAAGCAAGTCTTGTCCTACATTTTGATTATGGTTTGCAGAGAATTATGCTATAACCATGAGTTCTACTAACTCATAATAGAATGTAAACAAAAAATAAAAAAAAAAGTTGCTGCTAAGGAGGCTAACTCTAGATCTTATAACCTTGATTAGAGATCCCATTTGACATTTAAGTATTTCAATTCCTTAGTTTGAATCTTGACAATTTCTTAACGTTAGGTTATCAGAGAATTATCTCTCATGAATATCTTAATCTAGAAATAGATGGTCTGCCTTTGAGTGGATTTAAAAGAGGATTAATCGATGTGCACATAAGTTATTCCAAACGACCCTGACCGTTGAACTAAAAAAAAGTTTAAGTATTTCAATTAAAAATGGGATGAACATTTGGCTTTGTTGTTGAAGTGTTCGTTAACAAATTAGGCAAAGAGTGCAATGGTATTGTAATGGCACAAGGCTTAGTGGCCCATTGCTTGGCTGGATATCCAATTTGACCCAAAACATATCCCGCCCTGCCCAAGCACGAGTAGTGCCAAGTAGCTCGTTGCTTGGCCCGATATCAAATTGGACTCAAAAATGTCCTGCCCTGCTAAAGCACGAGTAATTATGCCCAAGGCCCACCTCCAGCCCGAAACCATGCACGGATTTTTCAATTCTTTTAATTACAAGTTGTAAGTTGTTATTCATAAATCGTATAAATAATTTAAAAATTAACCAAAAAATTAAGTAATAATTTTTAATATGTAACCTTTTAAGCTATAAATTGTTGTGTTTGAGTTAAATGTTAAAATTGTTAAGGAATAATTTACTATTTTTTTAATTAAAAAATTCGACCCCAATAGACTATTCGATGTTCTAAGGAGATGTAACTTGTCTTTATTTGAGGTTTTGGTAATCGATGAGAACACTATAATACTAGGTTACTCTTGACGATTTTTGATGAACTTAACAATTATATTAAAGATGTGTGCCCTGACATTAATTTTCAAATCTAGAAAGGATCGATGGTCTTGTTAAAAAAAATGGTCAATACTTTAAAAAACGTAATATACCTATTGATCTATTTGCTCATGATTTTCTCATTAATTTTACCACATCTACCATTGTAGAAAGAGCATTTTGAGTTATAACGATTGTGAAAACTAGGTTGATAAATAGATTGTTATTAATATGATTGAAAATGAAGTAATCATGCAACATTTTTCAAATGTGAAAATAGTCGAAATTAATTGTAAATGATTGTAATGAACTTCAATTTTTATAAATGATTATAAATGGTTTTTTTTTAGTGTTTTTTTGCTTGTAGAAAATATGTATAATGGTTCTTGATCCTTTTATGTTTAGTGAATTAGTAAATATTAAATATAATGAAAATAATAAATGTATCATCTTAATTTTATCCTTTAAAAGAAAAAAAAAAGTAATTGTCCAACTTAGAAAGATTTTCTTGCTCTACCCCTTCCAACTTAGAAAGATTTTCTTGCTCTACCCCTTCCTATAAATATTACTTATCAGGCAAGCTATTAGAGATGGAGCAGCATCTGAACCATTGGAATTCTAGGACTCAGCTCAGAATTAAGAAGCTCATGCAGAATAGGAATTTCCCTATTAGTCACCTTGTTTGATTTGTTGAGATCCTAAAGGAGTAATGGAGGGAGCTCCAACTACTTATTTCTCACTATCTGCATTGTAATCTACCAATGTCTCGTTCAATTGTATAATTCACTCGAGTTCATAGTGTTGGTGATTTAACATTAAGAAAAATTAATGAAGGTCGGCAGAAGATCTGGATCGCTTCTCTTGTACATTAGGAACTCATAAGCTCCTTTCATGGCCACTTTGGAAGGCATTTGAAATAATAGTAGGCAAAATTCAATTCAAAGGCGTTTGATATGATTATCAAATTAATAATTAAAACGTCTTTCTCGCGTGTAATCGTAAAAGTTATCTTCAACATTTGATTGTTTGAATACTAGTGAAATATTCAAACGCAACCATAACCATTAACACAATAACATTAATTCAACTCTATTGACTAAGACCACTTTATGTACAAGGGATTTGATGTATATAAAACATGAAAAAGCATACAAAATTAAGATTGAAAAGGGATAATCAAGTGTACAAAAACCCAACTGTTAAAAGAAAAATCATTACTAGCCCAACCTAGAAAGATCAATCTTTTCTTGGATGGCTAAAGAATGAATTAAATTTCATCCGTCAACATTCAAAGCCTGCCTTTCTCTACTTCTCTAGCATGATCGATCTCCCTAAAATTATGAAGACAAAAGAACGAAGAACGAAGAAATGAAATTGAGAAACCAAAATCTATGTATGAACAGGAAAGGATCACCAATCACAGAGAACTGACTAGAGGGCCTCTATCTGGTCCTATACCCATATATCTGCTAACTCAATATTCTGGGAGGTCTTTCATGACCTCCAGAAAAGAAGGTGGTATCATATTACTCCAGTTTGGTGATATGTTTGTCTCAAGGAATCTGAAATTAGGCCTGGGTGAGCTAAAGAAATCACTCGAATTCGGGGTGAAGAGAGGTATATCAGCCAAGAATGAATTGTTATTACTAGGAAATTTGAATATTGGAGAGGTTGAAGATGTGTTCTCCTCTCTGCCATCAGCCTTACCCCCAACCCCAACACAATATTTCTCATCAGTAATATCCGAAGACGACTCGTTCTCATCGCGACTCAAAGGAGGTTTCATGTCGTAACTACGCTTCGGTTGATGATTGTTCTTCTGATGATGATGATCATCACCTTGTGCAGTTTCATCTTCAGATCGCGAAAGACCAGTGAGTTTTTGCACCAATGACATGAAATCTCTAGCCTTCGTGTGGATGATCTTCGGAGAATGGGTATAAATGATTACTGGTTTTCTCAGTTGATGATTTGCAATGGGGTTTTGCTGCTTTATGGCAGCCGCAGCTTGACCAGAATTAATGTTAATCGGCAGCAACGAAGATGATGGCTTTTGAATAACATGAGAATCCTTGTTGATCTTCAATGGCGATGGACGTGGACCATTGATCACCATTCTAGTCTGTTCACCTTCATCAAACTTTGCAGGGCTCATGGCTTCACACTCCTTAGAATAACAAATACAGCTATGACCCACAAAAAAAAGAAAGAAACGATCTGAGCTATAATGTATATATTTAGTGAGTGGTTTGTTACACACACTGAGAGAGAGAGAGAGAAAGAGAAGGTTATCTGGCAATGGAGATGAAGAGAGGGATGATGTGATATATAGGGAGTGGTTGTGAAGGTTAGAGGAGAGAGAGATAGGGATGAAAAATAAATGGATCAGCCAACAATTCTGACCGTTGACATTTTTTTGGGGTGTTATGTGGTGTTGAAATTTTAGGGTTTAGCGGATAGCAGTTGTGAGACGGTACTACATTTGTATATTCTAGCTTTTTTGTCGGCTGACCAACGACGGCGTAGTTGGCGGGGAAGCCGGTTAGTAGAGAGCTGTTACACGTTTTATCAACACTATGTTTTTTTTTTGTTTTTTTTTTGTGCTGGGTATCAACACTAGGTTCGTGTACATACGGTATTCGTGTAAATTAATAATCAAAAAAAAATAAAAAAAAAAAGAAATGTTATTTAAATTTAATTTGTTGATTTAATTATTCATAATTATTGAATTGAGAATAGACTTTATTATTGTTTAAACCCCTAAGAAATTCAATAATTGTGATTAATTAAATCAACAAATTATGCTAATAAATTAAGTTTTAATAGTATTATTAAGAAAAGAATTAGATACACAAATCTAGTTGATTAAGTGTAATCAGAAAAAAAATTATAGGTGATTAGCTGATGTAGAACACCTGACAACAGATTGTTCTACTAATTCATAATAAATTATAGGCTGACCATTGCCCTTTGAAAACACAATAAAAAGTCGAAAAGTAATAGTAGATAGAAAATGAGTGAGAGGAATTCAGTGCGATCAGTAGTGTTTGATTTGGATCGGTATAACTAACGATTAAGACTCATCACTTCGTCATGAGCTCCATCAATTTTGGCTTGAATTTTATCATTTAAACCCTCAAAACTCTGTTTTTGCTATTTTAGGAAAAAATTGGAAATTAATAATAAACATAGAAGATTCTAAATTCAATCTTATCATTTTTATTAGACTTCAGACGATACGTGCTTTTATGTTAATTACTTAAATTATAATTTTCTATTTTTGATAAATTTCGTATAATTAAGAATTTTTTTTTTCATTATAACACGATTAGAGTTACGAGTCATATATTAAGTGAATAATACATATTTTTAGAGAGTTTATTTTACTTTTCTTATGGATTCAAGATTATTGTTGTTATATACACTTAGAAACGGTGCTCTTTTTGTGTCATTTCATTACCGTTACGTTCACTACAATAAATTTATTTTTTAGAGACGAGTTTTGACGATGAACAAATTTATTTCTCTCAGTAAACTTTTTTATGACCATTTTTTGTATGGATGTATATATACACTAGTTCTAACTATGTCTTGATTAATTGTGTACTATTGTGCTAGTTATAAGTAGATTTCCAACTCTCTTGTGGCAGGCTGGGTTTGTTGGTCTGCTAAATACAATGGAATCAAAGCTAGTCTGGATTGAACTCTTGAATTAATTAAGGGCCTTAATGTTTTTATGATTTAAAAGAATATATGTGTTTTCATTTATATTTATTTTTGTATATATCTAAATATATATTCTATTTTGCTTATTAATACGAGTTTATACTTTTGTTTTCTGAAATTTATTCTTAGTTATTTATGTTAACTCCATAATAAGAATAAATTTTAGAAAACTTACATAGAATATATATATTTTTTTGACCAGAGACAAACTACAACATTTCTACTTAAAAGTAAAACTACAAGTCTACAACATTACATACTTACATAGAATATTACAAGGTTGTATTTGTGATGATAAAAGGGATGTTTTTTTTTTTTTTTTTATAAAATTGAATGGGTTATTTTTAATTTTGTGGCACATCATCTCACCTAAAATCTCTGAGCCCAAAACTCTTTAGAGTAAGAATATGGACTTAAATCTCCTCCGATGTATATTTTTTCTTTACCTTTTTTTAGCAGATAATCAATTATTAAAAAGAGAGGAGGGGTCCACATACACTTAGTCTCACTTAAATGCATGGTAAATAATTAGTCAAGAAAAAAATTGAAGAGAAAATGTATTACAAATATGACTGATAATCGAACCAAGCTACTCGAGTTTGGCTCGGATCTGACTCGTTATGGGCTCGTCCAGGCTTGACTCATTTTTTAAACAAAAACAAGTCGAACTTGAATAATTTTTTACTCTTATTTAAAAAACAAACTCGATAGGTTCGACTTGAACTCGACAGACTTGACATATTTATCTCAAGCTCGGCTCAAATATAAGTGAATTGAACTTAAATTATATTTTAGACTTATTTAAAAAACGATTTCAATAAACTTGAATTAAATTTGTTCAGACTCGTTTGAATATGGGCCAAATTGCAAGGGATCTCAAACCAAGAATACCCTATTTCCATTAAGTGGTTGAGACCTTTGACATTTAAACAAGTCGTCTTCTTTTTTTTTTTTTTGAACTTTCACATTTAATGAAAGTCAAAACTTGATAAAACGACAGCAGTCCGTCTTGGCCGAATTGACCTCATGTTTGTCAAATGCACATCCACCGCCATCGTTTAAAAATCTAAAATCAATTATACTTTTGACCTTCAAAGTTTATATTGATTCTTATTTTGATCTTTAAGATTTTATTTTAGTTTCATCTCCTCTAATTTCAACAACTTTTGGTTTAGTCCAGCTAATACCTTCCCTAAAAGAACTTGACAGAAAAAAACCACATGTGTTATTAGTCAAAATGACATTTGAACACATGCCTTTTTGAGAAATTTTTAACCTATATCTATATCTATTTATATTTATATTACTTCTAAATATCAAAAAATAGGAAAAAAACTTTTGATTTTCCTTATTACCCTTCAGAAAATATATAAAGACAATACAATACACAACCTTTAATGTTATTTACAACGTAATCCCTACTTTCTACTATTCCCATTAAATTAGAGATATTGTGAGTTAAAGAAATTAGAGAGTCAGAAAAATATTATTTCTTACCAGGTTATTTCTCTCTCTCTCTCTCTCTATTATAGAATAAGTAACTAATTAAAAACTAGGTAGAGAATTGACTCTACATATGTATTAGAGATTTAATTTTAACTATAGGTTTTTATGAAATCTCGGCTGATTTTCAACAAATAAATGCACCAATAAAGTGAAAAATGATTTCTGACATATTTTAATTTTTAAAAGTTACATGGGAAGGTGACCCAAAAAGAATAATTTTTGCATTTATTAAAATATTTTGTTGAGTTTAAGTAAACACAAATTAGCACAAATCTAAAGGCCCATATCACAACAAAATATTATCGAAAATAATTCACATGCAACACTCTAATATATACATCAAACTAGTTTAATTAGACATATTGATACCAAATAATCTAAAAGAATGGTGTTTTTACACCTACATGGGTTGTTTCAGTTGTCAATAAAGTGGTGATGCATAAACCAACAATTCTTGGAAAGGAAAAGCTCTCATCAACTCAGTCAGGAAACTGTATTTGACAACTACAGTTTATGTTATTTGGAGGAAAATGAACCAAAGAATTTTCAATAATGAATTCAGGGATCCTATACATATCCAGCAGAACATCCTCCCCACTGTAAGATACAAACTTTTCTCACTTAAATTCAAAAACACCGCCAGCAACAAGGAACTAGCCCTTGATTGGAGGCTACCTAGCTCTTGTTTTGGTACATGAAGATGAAGTTGTTCTTTTTCAACTATGTAATTTAATCTGTGAAGGTTAATGTCACTTAAGATTTATTTTTCTCTTTTGATCATCTCATGTTGAGATATGTAGGCTGTTGTAGCTTGATTTTAACACTGTAGCTTTTGCTTTGTTATAAAACTCATTCATTTTTCTTATGTTCAATACCTCATTACATGAAATCATCGTCTAACCAATGCACATAATAATTTATTATTATATACATTCGAAATTTGTGTTACAATCATATATAGATTCAAAGGGTTGTTTTTAAATTGGACTCTAATGCTGAGTTTAAGATTCATAGAAGGATGGCTTGAGCTGAGTCTAAGCCTCAACATAAGCTACATGTAACTTAAGAGAAAAAGTCAAGGTATTTGCCCAAGTTGAAATATAAAATTGTTTGAAATGTCCCACTCACATTTAGACCCAGTTGCACATGAAATATATAATAATAATATAATATATTCAAGTTGTGTTGCTTTTGTGTTCTATTTACAATATAGAAATTTCCAACTAGTATTCTTGTTTTGTAAGTAATGTTTGTTTAGGATTTTATTTAATGCTAAAAATTTAATTCAGAAGCAGTAATCTTCTCTTTGACAGCCAAAACAATAAACAAAGTTCGAAGAATACGTAAACAAATTTTTGTTTATGTCCAAGAAAGGATTATTGTGAATCCACTACTAGAGAGTAATTCTCGAATAATAGATACAATATTTCCACGCGTACATTGTTCTTCTTTTATAAGCATCGTTGCGTACAAGATTGGTTAATATTAAAAAATAAATTCCAAAGTTATTATATTTTCTTTGTATGTCAACCAAAACAATAGAAATTCAAAGAATGTGCTATCAATATTTTTACTATCCAAAGTGTCGCATCGGATTTATTCCTGTAGAGTAAATTCTTGATCATCGTTAAACCAATTATTGGTTAAATTAGTGAGTTATATCAATGAAAATTGAACCCTAAACCTATGAGTTTATGGTTCATCTCGAGTTAATCCCATACCACTAACTGCCCTACACATCATCCTACTTCTTAGATTGGTGATTGAAAATAAGGAAGAAATTTATAAGTATTCTGCTTTTTGTAAGAAATGTCGGTTTATTTATCAATGAACTCTGTAACAACGTTGTGCCTTCCTTGGCTAAATTTGGGGGAAGTGCTATAAAACCACTTTGCTGATAAAGGTTGTCCCCGCTTCTTACGT